ACAGCTCAGACAGCAGGCCAAAAACCATTCCTTCTGTACGGTATGGGTCACATCCAGGCTAGCCAAAGGATAACATCCGCAAATGAAAATCAACCAGTGCTCACCGTATATAACTTTTTCTTAGCCACATCTCATAGCTAGAGTTCGAGCCAATGCAGACAGTGTGAGACGGAATACATGAGCACTTATATCTATGTATATGTCACTTGCATATGTACCACTTTGTCCTAACATTGCTGTTATATACAGCCGACACTTTCTGGTAACTACTGAAGCTAGGCTTTGTGGGTTCGAAGGCAAGCTGCACTGTTCAGGAAGATGGAGGAAGGATAAAGAGGCAAAGGAATGAGGGATGAAGACCGAGGACGGTGGTTTAGGTCTTCAGGATCGTAACGAAGGGAGAAAGGGAAACTTCCGAGCTGGAAAGAAGCTTAGACTGTGGCTGAAGGAACTGGAAAAGAGGGACTAGAGTGCCTCTACGGGTCTTTTTTATTACCAGCATGGGACTTGGTGGCGAAGGAAAGTTAGCAGTCTTGAATGCGCCATCTAGAATCTCACCTTTACGAAAACCCCGGTAACATGATCTTTGTAACCGGAACCCGAACCCAAAAAACGAGTACACACTAAGCGGCTGAGTTTTTTTTCTGCCCACTTCCTCCAATTTTTGCCGGTTTTTCGCGATACTTCCACAGTACAACCAGTAACATTTACTCACACAGGTATACAGAGCAATTTCTACTGACTGTTCAGTCATTTGCGGTGCCAAACAAATCAGGCAGTGTTTACGAAGTATTTTTTAAGTAAATCTTTTGGCCAATAACAGATATGAGATTCCATATACATGTAAAGCAATGAAAACATACAACAAAATATAGGCAATTTAAAAATTTATTACAATTTTTTCAAAATGATAATCTCCTCAGTGGCAGAAAATTAAGTCAGCAACTGCTAGCGGAAATAAGGAGTTATCATCAGCGCCTGACCTCATTTCCCTCATGCCATCCAAGAACCCACTGGGGTGCTCTGAATGCGCGACTGATGGTAAAGAAACAAAAACCACGAGTGTTTGCTAGGATTATGGGGAAGAGAAGTAGTGAAGAGTTATAGAATTTTGTTGGAAAACCTGGAAATTTCATTTTTTCACAGCTCGGTAAGGGACGGTGCACATGAATTTCAGTACTGAGAAACTCATTTAGAAAATGCAACTTATGATAAAAAAAACAATCACACACGTTAACAAAAAGGCGCTTTGGTTAGATTTATGTTATTATTTCTACATGCGTGTTTTTTTTTTTACTTTACTTTTACCTACTTTATATATATCTTGTGACAACTTCCAAAAAACCATCAGAAAAAGAAGCCACTGGTTCGAGCAAGTGGTTACTGAGATTACGTACTACGACGCATTTTACTTCCGAGTGCCGCCACCTCTGACAGACAGTTGATACGGGGAAATTCTGACTCTGACATAAATATGTAAATATAGAAATGTTCTCTAAAATTAGGCGA